AGGGAAAAGCAGGAAACGGGGAGGGCAGGGCTCTCTGAAAAGGTGGCTGTTTTCACACACTTGCCCATGTACAGAGCGGGCTGGGTAGGAGGAAGACCCTTTTGGCCTCCCTTGCTCTGCAGAGCAACACAAGCCAAGTGGGATGTTCCAAGTGTCTCTCCTTCCCCAGGCTCACTGCTGGGTATGGCCGGAGGAGGCTTGGCAGGACACGGTGAAACCCTCTCTGAGAAGGTACCTGCTCCCTGTCCCGTGCCCCTGCTGGGCCAAGAACCAACTCCACTCTGAACAGCAGCTCCTCCCCAAGCCCCCCAGCCGCCCTGGGGCCAGACACCCACTGGTCTGGCTTTACCACACTTTGCTTTGGGAGAGATCCAGGAAAGGGACCCCGGAGCGGGAGCAGTGGGCACGGCCATAGGATCCCATCCCAACCCAGCCCTGCTCCAGCCCTGTGCTGGGGGGCAGGTCTTGGGCTTCTGGGGTGGTCCCACGTGCCTGTGAGCACGAGGAAATAGCTCTGGGCTCCAGTGCCCAGCAAAGCTCTCCTTTGGTGATGGCTCTGCCCTATTTCTGCCTGTCCTCTGCACATGCCTTTCCCATAGAGGGCTCCCTCCCAGCCACACCAGCCAGTGCCATCCCTTCCCTCTGGGACACCTGTGCAGCCCTCCCTGAGGCCACACCTGCTTATTCTCCTTTTCTATTTTTTGTCAGACTCTTGGAGAAGCTGCGCTGGGGAGAGATCAGGACCATGCTGAGCTGTGGATTTGGTGGAAAGGGTGGAGAGTGGGCAAGGAATGTGTGCCCCTCTCCCCTCCGTGCCTCAGGTGGTGAGAACCTTTCCTATGCTGGTGCTCTGGCACAGCACGCCGGTGAATTCCGGTGGTTTGAGGCGCAGACCATACTCCTCATGGAGGAGGACGCTCGGGTGCTCCGGATCCACAACTGGCACAGGAAGACAGAGGAATATCTGGCAGCTGCGGCGGCGAAGGAGAAGTGAGTGGGATGGCAGAGAGACCTGCCCTTGTTGTGCAGCCCTTGTTCTGTACCGGCTGTGCCGGCCTTTCCTTGGATGCCGTTTCCTTAATTGGTATTTCCTTGCTATTCTTTCGCAGCAACCCAGGGCAGCAGGACAAGTGAGGGAATGTCACCAGCTGAAGACGAGTCCAGTCCCTCCCCTGCACCCCAGAGCCTGGCATAGCCCCCATAGGCCCCACAGACCCCCCTAGGCCCAAGACACCCTCACAGGCCCCGTAGACCCCCACAGGCCCCATAGACCCCCATATGCTCCATACCCGCAAAGGTCCCTGAAGCCTCATAGACCCCCATAGGCCCAATATCACTTAGGTCCCATAGACCCCTTCAGACCTCATACCCCATAGCCCCCCATAGGCCACATGGGCTCTATAGGCCCGATAGAACCCCATTGGCCCTTTTGACACCCATCGGCCCCGTAGGCTCCCACATGCCCCATAGATCCCCACAGGCCCAATAGACCCCCAAAGGCTTAATAGCCCTAAAGGTTCCATAAGCCCTATAGACACCCATAGGCCCCCACAGGCTCCATACCCCATAGGCCACATAGACCCCCATAGGCCTCATGGGCTCCATAGGCCCCATAGACCCTCTTAAGCCCTATACCCTGATAGGCCCCATGGGCTCTATAGACCCTCATAGGCCCCATACACTCCCATAAGTCCCACGGGCTACATAGACCCCAGAGACCCTAATAGGCCCCATAGGCTCCCACATGCCCCATAGTCCCCCTTAACCCCCATAGACTCCCATAGGCGCCATGGACCCTCCTAGGCCCTCTAAGCTTGATAGAGTCCCACAGGCCCTACAGGCCTCCCTAGAATCCATGGACCCCATAGTCTCCATAGACCATCCCTGGGCCCCATAGAACCCCACATGCCCTATAGACTCCCATAGGCCAAATACCCCAAAACCCCTCAGGCCCCATAGACCCCCATAGGCCCCATGGGCTCCATGTCCCATGTCGCGGTTTTGCGACGAGAGGGGAGCTGATCAGCTCGGGGTTCGATGACTCTGCTGCAGATGTATCTGTGTAGCAGGAGCCAAGGGGCTACCCGCCCAAGTACCCCAAATAAGGAGGCAAGAGACAGTAGTGCGAACTCAAGGACAGCCGAGGCTGATCTGTTTATTCAACTAAGAAGGAGAGTTTTTATAGGGCAAGGGGAGGAAGAGTCTGGAAAATAGGAGGGAAAAAGGAGGAGCATGCAAATCCTCACACAACTATAGGATAGGGGTTCATGCATAACCATAAGTAGGTGGGAATAATGAACCAGAGCCCGCCAAAACATTGGATTGGTCGGTACCTCCTGGTACACTGGTCAATAGGGGACTGTGCCCTAACAGGCAGTGTCCATGAGAGGGAATAAAGAAACTTAAAATGGAGTTTCAATCTATGTGTAGATTTACTCCTCAAGGGTAGTTTTAAGCACAGTCCCAGGTAGTTGATCCTTCGGTGGTAACTTTATCCAGGCTGCATCTCTCCACATGTTGTGCTTTCCACTCAGCAAATGAGGTTTCATCCTCTTTGTCAGGGTCTTGGTTATCCCCAACAGTCCCATAGACCCCCATGGGCTCCACATACCCCAAAGACCCCCTTAGGCCCCAGAGACCCCTCTATGCCCCAAACCCCTAAAGGCCCCATAGGCCCTATGCCCCCACAGGTGCCACAGTGTTGGGGATGATTTAGAAGATGAGACAACATTCAGTGAAGGGAAGGATCATTTTGTTACCAGGGAAGAAGTGCTGACCCTCAGCCAGCTGCTTAATGGTTTTTATGTTTTCCTGTGAGGTGCTAAGCTAATACTGAGTTTATGCCCTCCATTTTGTGTTCATCTTTTTTTAAAAGACTTTGCCTCATGGCACAACAACAGTACCCTATTGGTTGGTTTACCAAAAGGTACCATCCAATCAAGTTTATTCCCAGTTACTTCATGGACTGTTCACACCCCTTTATGTTTATGCATTTACCCTTCACCTATCCCATGTAGAGGATTTGCATGCTCCTCCCATGCTCCACCTACCTTCCAGCACCTTCCCTCTCTACCCTTTAAAATCCCACCATTTTGTTAATAAAGTTAGATCAGCCTTGGCTGTTCAAGAGTTCACTTTGCTGTCCAATGTCTCTTTATTCTGAGGTGCGAGGCGTGTGTGGGCTTGAGATAGCCAGTGACTATTGCCTCCTATCTAATACCTACAGGCTGGTCACGAACCCCTAGCTGGTCTGTTCCTTTCCAGGACACCAAAACCGTGACACCACAGAGCCCCATAGATCCCCCTAGGCCCAATAGACCCCCGTAGGCCCAATAGATGCCCATAGGCCCCATACCCCCAAAGGTCCCTTAAACCCCATAGACCCCCATAGGCCCAGTACTCCAGAGGTTCCATAGACCCCTTCAGGCCCCATACCCCATAGAACCCCATCAGCCCCATTGACACCCATCGGCCCCATAGGCTCCCACATGCCCCATAGAACCCCACATGCCCCACAGACCCCCAAAGGCCCAATAGCCCTAAAGGTTCCATAAACCCCATAGACACCTATAAGCCCCCACAGGCTCCATACCCCCTAGGCCACGTAGACCCCCATAGGCCTCACTGCTCCATAGACTCCATAGACCCTCTTAAGCCCCATACCCTGATAGTCCCCATGGGCTCTATAGACCCCATAGACCCCCATAGGCCCCATAATCCCATAGGCCCCATACACCCCCATAGGTCACATGGGCTCCATAGACCCTCGAGACCCTAATAGGCCCCATAGACCCCCTTAAGCCCCATAGAACCCCACTGGCCCCATAGAACCCCCTAGGCCTCTAGGCCCCCATATAGACCCTCCACAGAGCCCCACAGACCCCATAGACCTTCCTAGGCTTCATGGACCCCCATGGTTTCCACAGACCCCCTTCTAGGCCCCATAGGCTTCACAGGCCCCATAGACCCCCATAGGCTCAATACCCCACAGGCCCCATATCCCCATAGGCCCCATGGGCGCCATGTCCCATAGACCCTCATCGGCCCCAGAGACCCCTATATGCCCCATACCCTGAAAGGCCCCATAGGCCCTACAGAACTCCATAGGCCCCACAGAACCCCATAAGCACCATAGAACCCCATAGTCCCCAAAGACTGTCAGCAGCTCAAAGACCTTATTTTAAAACAAGGCCACCTGCTTGACAAGAAGTCTTTAAAATCATTGGTGAGGTGGCTGGATAGCAAACAGGAAAATCTTTAATCTTCGAGACTGGGATGAAATCGGATTCTATATTTGGTTGGATCAAGAGAAAGGTGTTTCAGGAGCTGCTGCTGCGCTTATCGCATGGAGATTAGTTCTGATGGCCTTACAAGGCCAGATGATGACAAGGAATTCTAGTTCTTCTGATTCGTCCCCTCACCATTATTCGCGGGACTATTGCAAGCCTTCTAAAAAACAAAATGGCGGGGAGAAACGTTCTTGGGTGCATTCTCCTAACATACCACAAAATGGCGGCGCATCTGAGGGAGGGAGGGGCGGAGTCATAGTTCAACGCGGGAAAATAAAGCACGGGAACATTATGTCATTGATAAGTCATGCCCACAACACTCATCGGACACGCCTTCATCGGCTAGTCCCACCTCCTCGGTGACATCACTACCTGATGATCACGAGGTTAAGGACAAAGATGGCGTCAAGGGCACTTCCGGTGATAATATCCGACAAAATGGCCGCGCCCTTGATCGGCAAAAGGCCTACTCTTCGAGCCTTACTGCACATAGTGATGTATGGAAGGAATGTAAGGCCCAAGCCTTGCGAGCAGGCGACACAGATTTTTTTGAAGGCCTTTTGAATTTATTTCGAAAATGGACCTGTACTGGACTGGACCCCTATATCCTATCCCATCTTAAAGGACATTAAAAAAGGAATAGTAGATTATGGACTTGGAGCCCTGTTCACAATTGGTTTATTTGAATCTTTGTTTCAGGCTTACACATTAATTCCTTATGATATTCGAATGATTTCAAAAGGGTTGCTAACAACTGTGCAAAAGTCGGTGTTTGAAAATGAATGGAAGGTTCTTATTACAAAATATGTTGGTGATAAATTAGCCCATAAGAAGGCTCCTTCTGATTATTTTATTCATATGATATATGGTGATGGTCCGTTCACTGCTAGAGAAAATCAAATTTCAATTCAGAAACAGTATTTGGATGCTTCCAGAGATCTTGCATTACAGGCTATAAAAAAGGTAGCAGATGCCTATGCCCCTGCCCCTTCTTTTACATTGATTAGGCAGGGTCAGGATGAGCCTTTTGTTGATTTTATCACCAGGCTCAAAGAGGCAATTGCAAAACATGTCAACCAAAAGGAGTCACAGGAAATATTATTTCAAAAATTAATTATTGAGAATGCAAATCAAGAATGCCAGCATGCCCTTAAATATCTGAAAAATCCAACGCTTCTTGAGATGATAGAGGCATGCAAGTATATTAATTCAAATACTCATAAGACAAAGTTAATGGCTGCAGCTCTTTCGGGTCCTAATTCATGTTTTCATTGCGGACAGAAAGGTCATCTGAAAAAACACTGTCCTCAATTGATTAATAAATCTGCACCTAACACACCTGTGTTACCTAAAACACCATGTCAAAGGTGTGGTAAAGGTAGACACTGGACCAAAGATTTCAGATCAATGGTTGATATTAATGGTCGTCCTTTACGACCGAAATCGCCTAATTTAAGACGTAGAGTTTCTTTTTGCTCCTGTGACGATATGCCCTCTTGTGTGAACAATCAGTCAGGAAACTGCCCTGCAAGCGCCCGGGGGGCGCGAGGATATTAAATTCCCCTCCTATTCGAACAGCTCACATGAGATTTTCTCTGAGTTAAATTCTTCTGGAGACTCCACTGATATTCGTGGGATTTCAGATTGTATTTCTTTACATCCCTGCTCCCCTAGTACAATTCTCACAGATAAAGATCAACTCCTGAGGGTTGTGCCTTCTCAATCTACTGTACCTGAGGAAATTTATTTATTAGTGTCTAATCCTATTTGTCTTCCTAAAGGTATATTTATCATACCCATGCTTTTGAATAAGGTGGATCCAGATAATATTTGTATTCCAATTAGTGTCTCCAGTCCTCCAGTTCAAATTCTTCGTCAGGACGCGATTGCTACACTTATTTGTCTTACTTATTTTACAACCCTAAGTAACACCTTACAAAATGAAACAACCGTTAATTGGACACAGTCTATTTCTTATTCGCGTTCACTTCTCACCTGCACTCTGAAATCTGTAGAAGGCAATCCACCTCAGTCTGTGACAATTAAGGGCTTGATTGATACGGGAGCTGATGTTACTATCCTTGCGAAAAAAGACTGGCCACCTTCTTGGGAGGCAGCTGAAACACTCATTAATATCAGTGGTGGTGGTGGTTCCCAGATTCCTCTTAGAAGTTCGAGGATAATACAAATTTTGGGACCGGATGGTAAGTCTGCATCCATCTATCCATTTATTTTAGATATACCCCTTACGCTGTGGGGCAGGGACTCCTTGGTGCGGTGGGGCATAGGGCTTCATTCAAATTTGTAAATCGGGTCACTGGTAATTTGCAGCTTCCCCCACTTTCCTGGAAAACGTCAACCCCAGTTTGGGTTGACCAGCGGCCCTTGTCTTTGGAAAAACTGCAAATTCTACAAAATTTAGTTCAGGAACAATTGGACAGTGGTCATGTGGAGCCCTCAACGAGTCCCTGGAACACACCAGTTTTTGTTATTAAAAAGTCTTCTGAATCTTGGAGATTACTTCAAGATCTTAGGAAAGTAAACAACGTCCTTGAGCCTATGGGTACATTACAGCAAGGTATGCCTTCTCCATCTATGTTACCTGCTGAGTGGCCCGTAGTCGTCATGGATATCAAGGATTGTTTTTTTCATATTTATTTAAATCCAATTGATGCTCCTAAATTCACCTTTTCCATTCCTTCGATAAATTCTAGTGAACCCCATTGCAGATTTCAATGGAAAGTCCTACCACAAGAGATGAAAAATTCTCCCACCTTGTGTCAATTGTTTGTTTCACAAATTCTCTCCCCAATTCGGTCTCAATTCTCACAATCGATTATTCTTCATTACATGGGTGATGTTTTAATTTGTGCATAATCTGACCTAGAAACAAAGAAAATTCTCGCTTCTGTTATTTCAGCTCTAAATTCTAATGGTTTACAAATTTCTCCTGATAAAGTACAAACTTCCTCCCCATGGAAGTATTTGGGTCTAAAAATCACGGAGTCCGCAATAACCCCTCAATCTGTTGCAATTTGAAAAAATATTAGAACTCTAAATGACTTGCAAAAACTTTTGGGAGCTATCAATTGGATTAGATCCATTTTGGGTATTACTACAGATGATTTAAACCCTTTATTTTATTTACTTAGAGGAAATTCAGACTTATCACGCCCCAGATCACTTTCCCCGGAGGCTGAACATGCACTGCAACTTGTTGAACATAAAATCTCTGTCAGACAGTCTGATAGGATGTTACCTGACATTCCTACTTCTTTACTCATTATCTTGAATGACAGTCAACCCCTAGGTATTCTTGGAAAATTTTACGATAATGATATGGAGTTCTTCTTATGGGAGTGGTTGTTTCTTCCGCATCAATTTTCAAAGACTATCACCACCCTTCCTGAAATGATTTCCAAGTTATGTTTTAAGGGACGCATGCGTTGCTTGTAACTTTGTGGAAAAGACCCAGATTTTATTTATTTTCCATTAACCTCTGCACAATTTGATCAATTACTTACAGCTTCCACTGATTTCCAAATTGCAACAGTGAACATTTGGGTCACCCACGGGGGACCCTGGGACACTCCCTTGGGAGCCTCCCTTCTCCACACACCCCGCACTGGCTGCGTTCCCCTTGCATTTCTGGAGCAGCAGGAGCCAAACATCAGGGTTCACATTCCCAGAGCAGATTCCATCTAAACTAATAGGGTGCTCATTGCTGGAATTTCTCCAGCAATTATTTCCCCTCTCTCTGGGTACAGTGTTTTTGCAGGGCTGCTGAAACAGCTATAGTAGGTCTGTGTGGGAGCGCAGCCCGAGCAGTGTAAAGGGCTTTGGGGTCCCTCCCAAGGCCTGCAGGGCCTGGGGACCCCCATAAGTTGGGCAGGGCCTTGGGGTCTGTCCCAGGGCGTGCAGGGGGCTGGGGTCCCCCCTAAGGTGTGCGGGGCTTTGGGGTCCCTCGTTAGGTGTGCAGGGATCACAGCCAGGACAGGTCTCCAAGGGGAACAGCCCATCTGCTGCCACTGCTTTGGGAACATTTCAGGGTGATTTGAGGCCTGAACTGAACCCAGCAGAGAGAGGAAACACTGATCGCACAGTTGCTCAAGTCTTTGAAAAGATCAAGTGGGAAACCCCCACACAAGGACTTGGTCACTCTGGGCTGCTGCTCTGAGCACATGGAGTCACTTCCAGAAGGGGGATCCAGCAGAGCTGCATGGACAGGCACACTCGTCCTCCGGCCGTGGGATGTTTGCAACTCTTGGAATGGGTTGTTGTGTTGTAAACTTGAAGCACCACACCAAGAGCAGCTTCTCCACAAGGTCTATGCCACTGAAAGACCGCTTTGCTTTTTGCATGCTGTTTTACTGGCACAAGTCGCACCAGCAGAACAACTTTTTCCCTTTTCCAAAGAATGTTTTTTATGTGAACTCGGGGCACACTGTTCCATTTGCTTCCAGGAGGACCGCATGCAAAGAATCCTGTCTGAGCAGGGAACTGCAGGAATAACAGGAGAGCTCTGGGAATTCAGGGCATTCCAGAGGCAGGGGGGTGGATTTGGGGCTATCAGGGGGGGATATGGGTGCGGGCAGAGCGCCCAGGGCGGATCGGGGCCGTGCCGAGCCGTGCAGGGCCGGGCTAGGGCGGAGGAAGGAAGGGGCTGGTCCCGGGCCGGGGCGGAGGAAGGGGCTGGTCCCGGGCCGGCCATGGCGGAGGTGCTGGAATTCCGGGTGCCCGCTGGCAGTGCCCACACACTGCTGGTCTGGGGGCTGGAGCCGCAGGAGGGGCTGGAGGTGAGGCGAGATCCTTCCCCGGGATCCCTTCCCGGGGCTGGGGCCGGGGCTTGGGCGCCCCCGGGGTCCCCCTTCCCTGCCCAGGTCCCTCTTTCCCCCCGGAGCTGTGCCCCATCTGCGCTGGTGGCTTTCCCAGCGTGTCCCAAGCGTGCTCATAATTTGCTTTTGGGGTCTGCGCAGCGCAGCGGACCCGAGTTGTCCAGCGCAGGGTGGGAGAGCTGGGACCAAAGCCGGTTCATGCGCCCGCGTTTTCCTGGAGGCTGAAAGCACACGAGGGAGGGCAGAGAGGTGGGCTGGGCTGAGCATGAAATCCCACTGTGGCCTGGCTCTCCCCCAGCACAGAAGCTGGATGATAAAGGAGAGGAGAGGTCGTCCTGGTCGGAGGTGGGGCAAGGGCGAGCTCAGCTGGATGTTGATGCCCTCCCCTTCAGGCTGCTGCTTATTGCAGAGCTTCTTACTGTCATCCAGCATTGCTAACACCTTCCCTCGTTTTCGAGGGAAATAGTTCCTGGGAGTGGTCTGTGGCAGTTGTTCAGCCTCTTTCAGGTGTATAACCCCCCTTTTTGCCCTCTGTTTTCCCTCAGCACTCGCTGTTCTCCGCGTTCTCCAGGTTTGGGCCGCTGTACTCGGTGCGGGTGCGCGGCAACGCCGCCTTGGCAGGGCCGGGATACTGTGCAGTCATCAAGTTCTACTCAGCCAGGGATGCCAGCAGGGCCCAGCGCGCCTGCAACGGGCAAAGGCTGTTTCAGAAATGCCCCTTGAAGGTAAGGGAACAGCCCGGGGTGGGAAATGTGCAGAACTCAGCCCCGTGTCCTCCCCAGCAGGATGGAATCACATCAGCACGGGGAGGGGGCCAGCACAGGCCACAAAGATGATTGAGGGACTGGAGCATCTCCCTGAGGAGGAGACACTGGGGCAGCTGGGCTTGATCAGTCTGGAGAGGAGGGGACTGAGAGGGGATCTCCTCAATCCACACAAATGTCACCAAGGTGGGTGCCAGAGGATGGTGCCAGACCCTGTTCAGTGGTGCCAGTGACAGGACGAGGAGCAGTGGCCATAAACTGAAACACAACAAGTTCCCTCTCACCATAAGGAAAATCTTCTTTCCATGGAGGAAAATCTTCTTTCCATAGGGAAAATCTTCTTTCCATGGCAGAGCACAGGAACACCTGCCCAGGGGGGCGTGGAGTCTCCCTGTCTGGAGACATTCCAAAACCATCTGGATGTGTCCCACACTGCCTTGGAGCAGGTGGTCTCCAGAGGTCCCTTCCAAGCCTGACAGTTCTGTGATTCCGTGAAATACTCGATCTCTGTGGTGCAAAAACTTGACTAACCTGTGGCTGGGCACTGCCACTGTGCTGACATGCCCCACTGCTGGCTCATGGGGAGCATTTAAGCAGGAAAGTGGCACCATCCTCCACCTGGCATAATAGAGTGGGCCTGTTCTGTGGTAAACCCTGACCTAATCTTGAACCCAGCTCAGGAGGACACACAGGGCCAGGAACAGGTTACCTGAGGGTGACTGCCAGAGCTGTCAGTGGTGTGGCTGGAGTGGGAGCCTCACAAGCAGGGCCTGGCTAAGCAGAGTTCTTTTCTCCTGGGCAGGTTTGTGTTTGCCCCAAGCAGAAGGGGGTTCAGCACCAAGCCCCTGCCCTCAGCAGCAACAAGTGCCAGGAGTTGGCCAACCACTACCTGGGCTTTAATGGCTGGTCCAGTCGCATCATCACGGTGAGGGGCCCTTTGTGTTCATCCGTCGTCCTTCCCCTTGTCCTCCTCTTCCCTGGAGGGGTTGGTGGAATGAAGAGTTGTCCTCCACTCAGCAAATCATAGTCAGCTACGAGAGCTGTGCTTTGGGCCATGAATGGGGGGTTTGAGAGCCTGGGGGGAGCAGATTGTGATGGGTGAGGGCACTGCCTTGGCTTCTGTTAGTAAAAATGGGGGAGGTTGTGATGAAATCAGCACAGGGCCTGACAGTGCTCTTTGGGTGCCGACAGAGAGGTGGCTGAGACTCCCAGAGGATGAGGCCTCTGAGGTATTTCTAAACTAGGATCAAACAGCAAATCCCCCTGCTCTGTCTCCACCCCCAGCTTCTCCACCCCCAGTCACAGGCTGTGCAGAGAAAGTGTGTGGCTCGCAGGCCACACACCTAAGAGGGCAAATCCTTCCTATCCCTTCTGTCTTTAACCAAAAGTAGTTCTCTGTGCTCTTCCCAACAGCTGCAGAAAGTGTGTGGCCTGGCTGGTGAGAATGAGGAGCTGGGGCAGAGCTGCCAGCAGGGATGGGTGAAGTTCCTGTGTGCTCTGGAGGTGACGCTGCCGCAGCACAGGGTGCGCAGCAGGGGAGTTGCCCTGGGCCAGGCAGCCGTAGGAGATGGGCAAGGTGGGCTTTGGTGGGCTCTGGGGGCAGCGCAAGTCTCTCCCAGCAGCTGTTACAGACACTGGCCAGTTCTGGTGTTGCACAGCTGATGGGATCCTGAACCTCTCCCCTCCCTGCTTCCTACCTTTCCTGTCTCCCATTGTGTCCCTCTTGCCCAGGGTGCTGTGAAGCTGCCTCATGAGCGTGTCCTGGGCACAGCTGCAGTGCCTGCTTGGTGTGCAGTGCCCTGCCAAGGTCAGTCACAAGCTGCTGTTTGTGTTCAGATCCCCTCGATCTCATCACAGCCATGAGAAGGGCTCAGAAGCTGGCGGTGGGCAAAGCTCTGTCTGGGGCCTTCCAGAAGATCCTCCTCATAGTCTTGGGTAAGGCCCGGGCTTGTGTGAAATATTTGGGCTGGTATTAGAACTTCTGTTACCATTGGTAGGGATTCTTTTTGCTCTGAGCCTTTCTTGGGGCTTGAGGGAGCAAAATGAAACTCATGCTGTGGTCTGTAGTGGTTTGACAGATAGGTTTGTCCCTGTGAGCTGTGGGAGTGAAGGGGAAATGGGAGAGGAGGACAGATATTGTTATGATAAATAAGCCTTTGAAAGAGCACATTCCAAGAGTCTAAATGGTGTTAGGGAGAGCTTTTTGCCTCTGCACATGCATGCTGAATGGGGCTGGGAGGCAGGGGTAACAGGAGCTGAACTGCAGCCCTTTGCATGTTGCTTTCCTGGCCATGAGTAAGGCAGAATTGTCCCATATCTGAAGTTCAGGGTCGGTTCACTGTCGTTCCACACAGCGGTGACTAACCACGGCTCTGGCTGTTCACTGTGTTTCAGAAAATGGGAAAGTGGCCGTGGAGTACAATCCCTGCCAGGAGGAGCCCACAGACCCCTTAACAGAAGAGGAACTGAAGGGGCTTATTCAGGTAAAAGTGGTGGATGTTGAGCTTTCCCACAGGACCTGTGTGTTCCACTCAGCTGTGACAGCCTCCAGCAGCCTCCTTGGATGCAGCCATGACCTCTACTTAAATCCTAGGAAGGGACTGCATCTTGGAATTGTGCAGCAGGCTAAGGTTTTTCAACTCCTATGGTTTTGGTTCTCTTTGTGCAGAAAGGCACATGGGATGCAGATGGGACAGGAAAACAAGGAGCACAGGGCTGTGACAGCACAGTCTGAGAGATCTGAAATGTGACGGTGTCCAGGGCTGCTCTTCATGGAGCCTGGGGGAGAGAAAATCCCAGGAAAAGCCTAGATGGTGTGGAAGAGCAAGTATGTTCTAGAGAAAGAAATTTACTCTTGATTTCCCTTCCCAGGTCAGTGAATTGTCCTTGGAACAGTTTGAGCTCGAAGAAGAAGAAGTTTTGTCTGATCTCAGTTTGGATGATGAGCCATGAAACGCCCTGTTTGCTTTTCCTCCAGATGCCCACCAGGGAAAGAAACAGGCAATAAACCCTGTGTTACTCAAATAAGCCCCCAAATATATGCTGGGTTTGGAGAGGAAGTGTTTTGCTGTTGGCCTGCTCTGTCTGGCAGCCAGCTCAGCTGCATGACTGTTGTTTAGCCAGGACAGCAGATGTGAACAGCACTTTAAGAAGGAGCCCTCCCTGCAAGAGCCAC